GTGGTGTTTTGATCGGAATAGCCCTGCAATCCCTGCAAAAGTCTTCTTGACAACCCTGACGATCACATCTGTAGAAAGATGACAGACATATGAATAAAAGTCTTGATGGTAGGTGACTGAGAAATGTCAGTTAGGCACTGTTGTTTACATGGAATTAAATATTTACCATGTCTTGCTCTTTTGACCTCTGGATATTCGGTCACACAATCAGCTGAGTACACACTGCAACCCAGGAGAAAATTAAACACTTCAGTGCATCAGATGCATCAAAGGACTAGGCCTAGTTCACTCAAAAATGAAAATATACTCACCCTCAGGCCATCAAAGATGTAGATGAGTTTGTTCATCTGAACAAATTTGGAGAAAATTAACATTACATCACTTGCTTACCAATGGAACCTCTGTAGTGAATGGGTGCCGTCAGAATGCAGCTGAACATCCAAACAGCTGATAAAAATATGACAATAATCCACAAGTAATCTACACAACTCAAGTCCATCAATTAATTTCTTGTGAAGTGAAAAGCTATGTGTTTGTAAGAAACACGTCCATCATTAAGACATTTTTAATGTCAAAAGATTGCTTCTAGCTAACATATGAGTCTTCTATCCATAATATTGCTCTATCCAGTGAAAAAGTCGTTTTGTCTGAATCAGGAGAGAAACATGCACAGATCAAGCACAATTTACAAGTTAAAACCATCCAAAACAGTTCTTAACAAATATGTCAGTGTATTTTAATGTGAGAGGACAACAGTACTTTTTCACTAGAGAAAGTGTTATTATTGACTATTGATTATTAATGCCTTGATGATGAATTTGTTCATTACAAACACACAGCTTTTCACTTCACAAGACATTAACTGTTGGACTTGAGTCGTGTGGATGACTTCTGGATTATTGTGATGCTTTTATCAGCTGTTTGGAAGTCTCATTCTGACGGCACCCATTCACTTCAGAGGTCTATAGGTGAGCAAGTGATGTAATGTAAAATTTCCCTAAATCTCTTCCAATGTAGAAACAAACTCATTTAGATCTTGGATGGTCTGAGGGTGAGTAAATTTTCAGCAAGTTTTAATTTTTAAATAATCTATTCCTTAAAAAATCTTTAAAATAAATAATCAGACTCCCAGGTAAACAGAAAAAAACCACATGGCTTTCTTAAAGAGCATTCATATTTATATAGCTGTCTATACACTTTGCAATATTGTGCAGGCAGAAACAGGAAAGGACGTTATCTATAACTGTCCATTTAATGGCACCAGATCTGTAATAACTCTAATCACAACAAACATTTCGTAAATTAACTTTATGTTTAACGGTATCCTATTAATTTAAAGACAAAGACAGTGATTGTTTGTTGAAAGTAGACTGTCTATTGACGAATTGTTTACTTTGGACTGATTTCTGCCCCCGAAGACAAATGCAACATACTACACTGCCTATTGTTCATGTTAATTAAAAAGTAACAAACTGACACTAGAAAAAAAAAACAAGGCACTCTGTGTTAATTAAAATAGAAACCAAAAGTAATTAGGTTTATTCCGAAACGAGGAATACAAAAGGACAAATACCTCACCTTTGATAGTTGCGTTTGGCGGGCCTACTGTTGTCCAGCCGCTGCGTGTCTGTGCCCGCGGCTCGTTCTATACCGTTACCGTGCAAACTAGGCCAGGCTGCGGATTTATCACCAGAAAAAGGCACGAAGAGCGACGATAATCCGTCAACTATCCATTCATACATCACAAACCACCACGATGAATAAGACTCCACTTCGTTTGTTAGTGCCAGGTCTATACTGAAGATTTTGAAACCGAAAACCCACTCGTGTTTCAATAGCCTTCCGTAGCCTTACGCTTACTGCGTCAGATTTGTCCACTGCGACACCGCAGCACTGCTCGTCGCTAAGCCCTCCCACTCTCCACTGCACTGTGATTAACGTTCCTTTACACCGCCAGTTAAGGCGCTGCAGAGCAGCAAATAGTAAGTACTTGGTAATGATCTGTCACTGGGTTCAGTGCAAGAAACAGTTAATAAAATGGAACAAACGAAATAATGTTTTGTTAAAAACGGCACACAATTGAATTACTTACGTTTTATCTGTATATTCCGTGTATGCTGATTTTGAATTGTTGGTATATGAGTAAGGTGATTAGTTTTACAGCTAAATATTTGGCGGGACAAATCCTGCAACCAATCAGATGCGCAACTGAGGATCACGTGTCTCAAAGCGGAAGAAATATCGAGTGGTTGTGCTTGTTTTACTTATTGAATGTTCTATGTTTGTTAAAGGGTTTCACGAGTCACGGACAAAGGCATGTACAGGGACGCGGGAAGTAGGGGTGCTGAGGGGGCTGCAGCACCCCCTGTTTTCACATGGTTGCAAATGCAACGCCAAGTTTGTTCATTTAAATTTATTCAGTTTTAGCATTTATAATTTATTTGTAATGATCTCTGAAATGTAAATTGTAAGTGGG